CCAACAAGGCGAAGACCGCCGGCTGCAAATGATCCGGCAGTTGTCCTATCGAGTCCAGCACTGAGAGTGTCCTTGCTGGTGCCCACGGCAGGGGTGTCGCCCCTTATCCGACCTCTTTCCAGCACCTGCGACCTTGCTTTGCCCTGATCGAGATGCTCCCGAAGCAATGGGAATGCCTGGCTGCGACCTCCCGGGCTGAACGCCCAGATCCTCCTGCTCGGACTCTAACTCTTCGACCCAAATTTGTCACCTCTTCCTGGGTCGCTGGGCCGTTATCTTTTGCTTTGGTCGAGCAGCCGAAGGTTGGGAAGCGCCTGTAGGTCAGATCAGGGTGCCCGCCGAAGGTTTGGGGAGCCTCAAGATGCATAGACCCCGATGTTGCCCCTTCGGCCGGGGGACCACTGGGAGCAACTTCGATCGTCCTAGCGGTCCTCGCTCAAGGGAAAGTAAACTACCTTCGTCGTGGCGACCCTGGCACATTCGGAGGCATGGTTGCTATATATGAACATCGTTAGTAAAAATAGTTCATTGCGTAATCGAAAGACCCAATTAGCGTAAGTTACTCGATGGGGACTCTAAGGTCGCGTCTACGTTGAAAAAGTCGTATCTTCGCAGATTCGTGGTTGTCACGAGCAGCTTTGCGTTGCGGCTCGCTTCAGGTAAGAAACCGAAGGCTACGATCCTGTCCGAATCCACGAGTAGCTCCAAGCTGGTCGTTTTGTTAACTGCCAGAAAAATAAACAGTTCATTAGTAATAAAAAAAAAAATGAGTTTGTTAAGGGAAAAAAACATACTGGGGTCCTGGAAGTGACAGAGGCCATCGTAACGAAAGAAGAAAAACTTCGTCTCGTAGGCCCCCGCGTTGCTAGGGTAACTGTGTATCCCAGCTTCTATAGTAGGTCTCCTGGACAAGTAGTAGGAATCCCTGTCCTTGCTCTTTTCTAGGATGTACGAGCAATCGAGTTCTACTACGGTTAGCTCGCCCAACCCGTTCTCGCGACACGTGATGTACATGGTAACCGCAATCATGTACGCGTTTGACGTGAGTTGCATCGATGCGATCCCGAAATGATCCAGGCCCGACCTGACAAAAGGGTGGAAAGGGATCAACCCCCCACCCTTGAAGATTTACTCGGAGATCGCGACTAACCCACGTGGCGGATGCCGAGCTGTGCGCGTTCTATCGCTGAAGACATCCGCGCGGATACCGTATTAGTCTACCACTTTATCGAGCTCATCCTCAGTAAGTACGAAAAAGATCTCTTAGGTGGGACTCACAAGAACATCCTGCGTAGACGAACTGGTCTCTTCCTCGAACCTGGTCATTGAGGGGTCCATTCTACTGCAGTCTGCAAAAGCGACAAGCAAAGAATCTTTTTAACCCTCGTACATTATTTCGTACGATAACGTGGAGGAAAGCAAACACTTCCCTTCCTAAATCCCAGGAAAACCCTAACAGAATATTTCGAGCCGCCATTCATGGCTCGAACCCAGCAAGAACATTTCGTCTTTGATCAACTACTGGAAGACGTATCATTTATCAACTATTAAGAGTAAGAAATAAAAACGGAAAACGATTCTTACCTCTCGAAATATGAAGATGGATCCTTCTGCTTCGGATATTAGGTACACGCTAGTTTGGAAGGCAAAGAATCCAAGTTTGTAAAAGTCTCTTGCCCTCTCTGAAAAGATGAGGGTGGTAACATTGCCTGAAATGAACCTGGGTTTTATAGTGAAAGAACTGGCGCTTGATTTTCTTGAAATCAAACGACGTTTGGGCAGAAAAATGTACCTCACTGTTGATCGCGACCACGTGTCACAGATCCACGGGGAAAGGTGACCGTCATGCTCCAAGAAAACCAAATCGTCATCCTTTTCCGTTGAAAAACTCAAGCGACGGCACGATTCTCCTGCTGCATTAAATGCGCCCCAATCTACATTTAATGTTCTGATAAGGGATATCATTTTGGCATGTGATGCATTTAATGCGCATGACTGGCATTAATTGCGCACAGGACACGTCTGTTGGAGCAGAAGGCATTTCAGTAAATGTATCCCTTGCGAAAATGCAACGGGTAAGGCTGAAGAGATCGTTATGTAGAACACTCTTCGTCTGACCAGTCACGAAGCAACGTGACTCCTCGATTCTACCCCATTGGTCACGAAGCGACGTGACTCTCGATGAGTATTAAGTTTAGAAGTAGCCCAATCCCTTGTCCAGGGGGGGAATTCCGAGAATAATTAGGTCTTGAACTTCAGAAAACCGAAATCAAAGCACTAGAATGGTCCAAAATCGGGTCATTCATCCTTAAGCAAAGACCATATCAAGTCGCGCACGCAAAAGTGCAGTCTCGACCTCTTTTCAAACAGGTCAAAATCACCAGAATTTCCTCGAAGGCACCTTGTTACGACATGAATTGTAGTTTCTAAGGTCCGATCCTCGCACTTTAAAAACTAGGGGACTTCTGTTATGCCTGAAAAAGTAGGGCTAATGCAAGACCCAGTCAGCATAAAAAGTCAGAGCTTGCGTATGTCTGCGGCCAGTCAGAGGCAACCACGTCACACAATGACAGGGACGACATGCTCCTGTCAGGGCAGTGGGTGCGCGTTAGACCAGCAAGGAGCTAGAGTGATTCCATGTGTCTAATCACTGCCAAATCGCGTAAATCACTCTAGAAGGTGGGCAATGAGACATAAAGAAGGATTTGCACGGATAATCCCACCAACTCACAGATTTAGTAATCATAACCTTAATGCATCCCACTATAAATTGAGAGCTCCTCTCTCATTTAAGGGATTAGCTGATCTCTCTCAAGAATAAATAGCATTCTCTCTCTTGTATAATCATTTGTAAGTTAGTCCGCTGAACGCGACCTGACCTCTATCATTAATACAAAATCAGTGGACGTAGGATTTGCTTCCTTAGCATCCGAACCACTTTAAACGCTATTCTCCATTGCATTTACTCTCATTCTCACATTCACGTGCGTCTTCTGGGCCTGCTCAGCATTTTACACATGCGTTTGGTTGGTGTCAAAATCACGCATCAACATAATTGATTGAGGAATCTCAATTATGTAGATAGTGCATGTGGACAAGAAATGGTCCAAATAAGGAAAAGGGTCACATATTCTCCTCAAATACTTGGAATCCCCTTTCAACCTGAAATCCTACAACGACAAAGAAAGTAATTCTTTCTTACCTGAATCTATTTCACTATATAAATGAGGCTAAACGACATTTTTTTATCTCAATATTCAATCAAAAAAGACTCGCAATTGAAACACTCTTAATTGAACCTGACTACCCTCGTATTTAGTTGTCACCCCTATTTTAACCCTGTAATCCCATAGTTCTTTTACTAGGACATAGGCAAGAGCTGCAATAAAAAAATCATCTGAAAAAGTCAACGAATTGAGGGCGGAACGTGAAGTTGCTGTGTTATGAAGGGCAAGACAACTCCGTTTGGTATACTTTTTTGAATAATATTCTTTTTTAATAGGATTTGATAGGATTATAAGAATGTGTTTGATACATTTTTTGAAAATATTTTTTAACCCCCTACATTTGTTAGTTTAGCTAAACACTCCCTAAAATAAAAGTTTATAAATGAACAAAAATACCCCCACCCACCCACCTAACTGATTGCTAGCAACTGGCCACCATCACTAGACGGTAGCCAGAAGTCACCAGAATGGCACACGACCAACTAGATCTGGTCGATCGTGTGCCGATTTGGTCATTTCCAGCCAGATCTATTGCCAAACATCTGGTTGTTGATCATGACAATATTTTGGCCATCGTTAATGGCCAAATTTTTGGACATTATTTGGCTGTCAACGACGACCAAGATATGGTCGTCATTTGGTCGTAGATCTGGTCGAAAACAGAACAGATCGACACACGATCGACCAGATCCAATCGGTCGTGCGTTGTTCTGATGCTGACAGTTGGTGGTGGTAGCGGCAACGGCTGGCGACCGACAGTGGTTGCTGGATAGTAAAATAGAACAGTGTTGGAAAAGTTAAACAAATTTTATATCCTATTTTAAAGTTGTAAAATTAAATTTTTTTCTTATGACACCCCATAAATTCCATAAATACCCTTTATTCCATATTTTAATATTTAAAAAAAAAACTAACATTTCATTCTCTTTACTTATGCTATTACTGTATAGCCCCGTCATCTTTATTCTTAGGATAAAATTTTAGATAATTAAATTGATGTTAAGAAAAAAATTTAAATTAAAAAAAATCATTTACAAATAATCCAAGAACATAATACAATTAAACAACACAATGAATATATAGATTAAAAGAGCTACCAATACTTTGAAAAAAAATAACATTAAATTATCTTTTTGTTTTAAGAATGATTTGAATATCATAAAAAAAAAATAATAATAAAGGTTTATGAGATAATACTAGTGTCAAAAGTATTTATAAAGAATATAAAATTAAGCTAATTTTAATATTTTAACATAAGGATAAATTTGTCATTATAAAATTTATTAAAAAAAGTTGGGTTTATTTAGCCTATTAAGGGGGTGCCAATAGATCTACTCATATCATTATTATTCGATTTAATGATAATTAAATTTGAAGGTAGTATTAATATTTTCTGAATCATAAATCACTGAGAATTAACTTTTTCTAAAATAAAAACTTTTAATGTATATCATTATTATTAATTTATTAAATGAAAGTCACTGTATATATAAAAGTTCTCCCCTTGTGCTTTTCCACGTGGGGAAAATATGTGCACAAAATATGATAGATAGGTTCTTACATTACATGGAGAATGCCAAAGCTGAGAATATAAGCTACAATGGCCAATCCTTCATCTGCTTTTTTCTTTTCTAATATGGCTATCACATGGTTAATTTTATAGACCAACTAATAAGTTGTTGAAGCTTCTGACACAGACCATTTTTATTCAAAAGATGACAGAGATCCAAGCAAGGAAACATTCTTCCATAGCATTTGGATCGATCATGTCTCTCAGCTTTCAGGTTCCTCTTTTTTCTGCTGCGGTGAGGACCTGCATGTTACAGAGCCATTTGTTCAAAAATCCTTCTGTCAACTAGGACTGTTAATAACTTAAATATCAAATATTGAATAGGCCTAGTGGTTACAAAACACAAACAACTGTCTTTTTTAATCTGGGTTCTTCGAGTATTCTAAGATACTTCTCAGTTCTCACATATATAACACCAGAAGCAAACTATTCTATGTTTAGGTGAACCTTCGGTGAGGCGTAAGTGATTGAAGCTATAAAACAGAGAACAAACTGGTATTGGAATTTAATTTGCTACATGGTGCTTACCCTTGAGCATTTACCCAGCGTGAGAATTGATAGAGTTGCACAGTCTCATTTGCAGCATGACACACTAAAAGATGTAAGTTGCGTGGCTGAACCATCCATGCAAACCTCATGAACAACGCAGAATAAACGCACAAAACTGCAACAAAATTACTACAACTCTAAGCCAACATACAAGGAGTCTTCAAGAAAAATATATATTTTGTTTGGATTCTGTCAAACAGTAAAACTAAACCTCCTGTCATCCTTCCAGAGATTTGTTCAGGTGGTTTATTTCTGTCTACATATGCCTGTGAGAAACAATTATATCAGCTATATCAATATGCCATAGAAAAAGCTACAATAAATAGCATTTGAGTATGAATGTGTACCGCAATAGGAAGACTCCAGTTAAAAACAGGGCCCCAAAAGTGAGTCGTTTTGGGACCAATAGGACTTTTCCATAAAGTCTTGAGGATTTCCATTGATAAGCTATATTGCAATTTGTACAACTGCTTACAATAATCAGTTTTTCATATCAAAATTTCACAACTCCAGAAGCAATTTACATCCCAGAAAAATTCAAAAATCAAATATTCATATAAGAAAGTTTAGCATATGAAACCTCTGGTTCAATTTACTTCTACTGGATATAGAAACACTTACCCAGATGCAAGAAAGAGAGACACTAAAAACAAGGTATGTTCGTTTGTCTCTCGGGTGTGGATGATCCTAAAAGAATATGATAACCTCAAAGGAGGATGTATTCCAACCCAAGTGTACCGGACCAGTAAGCAACTAAGCAATGACGTCTAACTTTGAATCACTTGAAAAAGTTTTTTTTTTAGATGTAAAGATATATACCAGTCCCATCTTGCTTTGAACGACTGCTAACCTTTCCTGAAAGAGACCATTCCCATTATTGTGGCTAACTTTTGTTTGATTCAACTTGTTTAATATGTGAAAGTGACGTCTAGCTGTTTTAACCCCTCCATTATGTTCATTTTCTTTGTCATTATACCATTTTAGTATCTGCAATTTGCCATTTTCTATTGTAATTGGGGTCTTGGAGACAATGCTTGCTGCATTATGTTCATTTTATTTTTTTGGTTACAAGATTAATTTAGTATCTGCAATTCGCCCTTTTTTTTTATTGTAATCGAAGACTATGCTTCCACCAATCAAACCCCTTTGCCTTTTTTTTTCTTTTGGTTTTTTCCTCTGAAAACAGAAACCAAGTTACAGAACTCCAGACTATTTAAAGGGCTGCGAAGACTTGAAATAGACCCTGCCCATATTTTGTTACAGTAAGAACTTGATTAAATTTTTGCCTTCAGTAAGAAACTTGATTAAATTTTTGCCTTCACCTGAGTGGTTTTCAGTTTCACTCTTTCCAGACGTGGGCTGCTCAGCATAGACGATTGAACACAACCAATAAGAAAAAAATTCTATTGAAAATGAAAAAAAAAAAAAAGAGGATTCAAGAATCCAAATATACTTTTAATTTAACTAAGGAGTTTTAATGTTTACAGGAATTATTATAAAACTAATCTACAAGATTACAACTTCTTGTCAACAGTCAAACATTTCCACTACATTACCCAAATTTGCAATGGAAACTAAAACTACATCCTATTACTCACTAATCTAACATGGTCAAGGATCTCTCATCTACAAGAATTCTCTCTGTACATTAAAAACTCAGATACTTTACAGATTTACAGACACAAAGCTTCATAACTTTGGTCCCATTGAGGAACTTTCCGGACAAGAATGTCACCATAAGCATCACCCTGTCTCACATCCACAAACCTTTTACTTTTCAGCACCTGCAAAGTGGTTATATAAACAACATTGTGGGTTCTGAATAACATTTTATGATTGAAACTTTTAACATATTTTGGGAAGGCTGGAGCTGGGACAAGTTTCTTTTTCAACAACAAAGGAAAAAATATAAAGCATTTAATTGAACATATGAAAACTTCGAGACATATATCTAGACCAAATTTTCAAGTACTCCTAGAGGTCAACTTTCTCTTCATATCACAATTGTTAGAGAGGAATGACTTGAAGAATTTTGCTAACTTTTTAGAATAAAATACTAAAAAACTGAAGAAGATTAAATTGAAGCAAAAAATAATAGACCCTATAAGTCTTTCTATCGACAGAAGAAAAAACCGAAGAAACAAGTTCCAAAAGAGATATTTCCATCATGAATAACATGGCAGAACATTGACTTACGGATCCTTTTTCTAAGCAAGAAACTTTAGATAGTAACATACATATAGAAAAAAATAACAATAATAAGAGCCCGTTTTGTAATAGGAAATCAGAAATTAAAAATTGTATTATCAAAATTTGAGATTGTGTTGGGTTGTATAATTTGAAAACAAGTTTTTAAGAATAAAAACAATGAAAATTCGTCTGTTACTGGTATTTGGATGAGTAAAGAAAAAGCTTGTGTTTTTTAGCAGCTGCTTTTCAAATATGCATCAAATAGCTCAAAGTCATTTTTGAGTTAAATATTAGTTTCTCAAAACCCAATACAACATATCTGTCTTTGGATTGTAAAACAAAAAATGATTTCAAAAAAGGTACTGTACAAAATGTACAAATCTAAATTATTTGTGAGAACAAGTTATTGGTTCACCATTAAAAAATAAAAAACTAGTGGCTTTGTTGAAGGACAAAACTAGGGATGTTCAAAAAAATGTAGAAACCGAACCGAATTTTCGGTTATCCAAAAAACCAATTCGGTTTCGGTTCAAAGAAATTCAAAAAATTGAATTTTTAGTTCGATTACCGATTTGGGAGAATATGAGAAACGGTTAACCAAAACCGATTCTACTAACCGGTTTATAATAAAAAATATTAAATATAAATATAAAATAAAAATATCCGGTTTATTATAAAAATATTAAATTAAAAAAATATATAAAACATTAAATTAAAACCAGTTCAAAACCGGTTAACCGGTTTTTTGATTAACCGAAAAAACCGGTTTTCCTCTTAACCAATTCGGTTTTGGTTCAAGAAAATTCCTGAACCGAAAAACCGGTTCGGTTTACAAAATCGGTTTCAGTTAACCGGTTTTGAACACCCCTAGACAAAACCCTATGAACTAAATAGAAATATTCTAAAACACAAACAGAACATACTAGTATCTCGTAAAAAAGCCTTGCACTTTCTTTCTTTGTTTTTCCTTCCAAAAGCAGCGACAAATTCACTGCTTCATCCTCACTTCTATTCTTGTGATATTGAAAACTTCGATGCAAGTACCCAGCCACTGTTCTGTAAAGCCACAAGTTTAACAAATTCAACGAAAAAGCTTACAAACAAGTATTGGGATTAATGTACGAACCAAAAGTGATGATTGCAGCAGCCTTACCTGGTTCTTGCAGAGAATTCATCTGCAATCAACATGAAATTCAGATAAGAATGTTGCATGAAACAAAATATGACATCTAACATGATTTACAAGCTTGCTGTTAAGTAGCCAGAAAAAATACAAAGGTTCTTACGCAGTTCCTGGTCATCTTCATCAAATAAATTTGCTTCCTGAAATAAGTCAAGATGAATAAACGAATAACTACAATGATTCTGTGTTTCCACAAACAGGAAAAAAGAAAGAATGACCCGAATTACAATTCTTAACAATTAAAAAGACTATGTAATGAAACGACATTAAAATTTGGAAGGCAGCATCAATATTGCACATGCTGATTGAGAACCACAAATTTGGTTAAAGTCAAACTTATCACAACTAGATAATTATAAAAGGAAAAGTTAATATCTCAGCATATAATCACTTGTTAAAAAAACAATTCTGAATAGGAAGTGTTGAAATACAATTGATCTGAAAAAGTTAAGTTGATAGGAAAAGGTTAAACATTGGCAGTTAAGCCCTAACATACCCCCTGATGCATATAACATATTCAATTAACGGACTTGACATGTGGAAGCATCCAGCACATTACAAGCTCAACTTGCTTTGTATGGGGAACCAAGCTCCAATACCATGTTGAGACATCATTAATCCCAATAATTTATAAGAAAAAGTCAAAAATAGTATCTAAACTTTAACAAGAAGACTGCTAAGTAGGATTACAAATTTACCCGAGCACAAGTAATATACAGCTCAGTCTACATGCAATATGCAATGACAGCATTTACTGCCTCTTAAAAGAAAAGCAACATTAAAATAAAGCTTGCTTAATTTCTTTACCTCGGTAATCAAAGTGGGGTTGAATCCTTGACCCTTGCTTGAAGATGGCCCCTTCTCTGTAATCTGAAATGACTGAGCTGGTATTACTGTATCCAAGTGAGAGTTTTTGAGGCTCCCCAGAGATGGTGTTGTAGCCACTAACTGTAATATGGGTGTTTCTGGGGCAACAGCCATTTGTTCAGATCTGCTAGGTGTTCCAGGATCAACAGCCATTGGAATTTGATTCACGTTTTTATTTTACTTTCTTATACCAACTCAAATTATTAATTTGCAAAAGTTAATTATTTTCGCTTTTATCAAATTAATGATTTGTAATACAAACTATATATATCATCCTTAACATTGATAAGGAATTAATGTAATACTTGTTTTCAAATATTTAAAATTTACAAACAAACAACATAAATATTAAATTCAGTCTTATTCCTTTATTCAAGAGCAATTATTGAATAAAGAACGATGACTTATAGTCAATATATTAGGACCTCTGCCAACAACACAGGCTGCTGGATACGAAGCATGTGGATTTGGATGGTTTTTTAACAGCTAATTAGTTGAGGTATTAGCAGTCTTGGAACTGTTGATAAGTAATAAGAGACTATTAATTTAATTGTTTTTTAACCTGGGTATGGATGTTTCACCATATATCAAATCTTCCATGGGGTGACTGGTTCACCTTGATTTGAGTTTGTTACGCTGCTGCTTTCTGGGGTTTATCGTGTTCATTCTATTTTTCAGAGCAATAAGTACTTATCTGAAGTAATGTTTATAAAATTTATCAATGTCTTTTAATTTCTTTTTTTTCTCCTTTTCTTGTTTATGAAAACGATATTTATAAAATTACAAGAAAATGTGAATAGTTTTTAGCCTTTCTAAGAATATGCACGTCTCTGCTACAATCTTGCTTTGTATCGTTCTTTATCTGCTCCATTTTTGTCTATGTTTTGTGGCCAATGCACATTCCACTATCTTGCTGAGTATGCAACGGCAAATTGGGTAAATTTTATGTTTACACTTTACAGTACTGGTTCTATTACTCTACCTTAAATGCTACTCTATTACTTTCCTTTAGTTAATCTAACTCTGTTTTTTATTGAATGTGATTACTGAAATTATTTATTTATATGTTTCTGAGTATCTGGACTAGTTCAACATTCATCGTATTATGTAGACGCCCTTGTGATTTTTCATTTTTTAATCGTTATCTGTAACACCCGCTTAAGGTTTTGGCAACACGGTCCGAATGCATTTTATTTTGTTTATGTAATTTGGTTACTTGATGTATAGATATTATATAAATTAGTTAATATTTTGGGCCCTATGTGCACACTTATATACACATGTGTTTCCTAAGAATTAGTAAGTGAGTTTTATTTTATATCTCAAAAAGCATTACTAGCTAGAGAGATATTACAGTATCGGAAAAAATATCTGAGTGGTGACCAAAACCTTGTAGGCATGATCGGGAGGCTGGGTCCAATGCCTGTAATGGGATTCATTCACTTGGAGAAGAATAAAAATAAGCACTCTAAATCTTTCTAGTCATGTGATGTATGTCAAGTTTGCTTTTTAGGTGTTTCAGATAGTAAATTAATTTGTGTTGAATTTCACTATGATTACCTCCTTTTTATAGTTAACAACTCTTTTGTGCTGCAGCCCATTATCACGTCAGGATCTTGTAAGTTTGAAGATGGCCCTTGCGAAAAGACAACTCCCAGAAGCTGACAATGCATGTTTGATGCCTCACCCTGAACCTAAGCAATGCATGTTTGAGCATATTTATTTCCACTGCATAATTCAGATGTTTTTGGGGGGTCTGTCTAAGGTTACTATGTTAGAGTGGAATATGAGTGAGAAACATGGCCAAAATCACAACCCTTAGGCACTCTCTTAGGGATCCACTCTTATTCCACTCTAACCTAATGGGTTCCGAAGATAACCGACATATGATGTCAGAGAAAAATGACATGCCATTGTTTGCAAAAAAAAATGGACTTACCCCCAAACATCCATGGCCCTCTCTCAAAAATCGAATGCACCATCCTCCTCTCAAATTTGAATATCAAAAACAAGTGTCAATGGACATAGCATCTTCCAAACCATCCATTTTCCATGCATGGAAGGCGATCGAGCGTGCAACAGGAAGGGCATAAAAATATCCTAGAAAAAACCACAGTACAACGATTCAATCCATCATTATCATCAATACATCATCAAAAATCCAAAGCTGCCCATCCTTAATATCAGTGTGAAATGATTACTACCCTCTGTGACTCTTACTTTATCCGCCCAAAGAGGAAAATTTTTTGTTGTTTTTTTTATACCCAACTTTCTTGTCAATAACTGGCTTCGAAGTTGGTTACTATTCACGTGGCTTAGAAGACGCCCAATTGAGTTTGAAGAGCTCTTGGAATTTGGTATTGTTAAAATATGAAAAGTTCCCAAAGCTTTACCTAAAGTATCATGATTCTCAACTCAAGAAACCCAAAACTGCTGATTTTGTAATAAAAAATCTTAGCTCCTTTAATTGCTCCATTTGCAAAAGCATTAGCAAATACTTGTCATCCATCCAAGATTTCAAGTCCCAATCATGGTTTGGCCCACTTTTTTGGTAGGTAGGGGCTTCTCAGAAGAGGCATTAGCAGTGGCTAAAGGTTTTTTGGATGGGGGAGAGATGGGTTGGTTGGAGTGATGCAGTTGGTTGAGACATTTCTTCGACAAGTGGTGGCATGGTTAAAAGGGTTATGCCTGGGCAAACGAAAGGTGGAGAAGATGGTTAGAAGTATTTAGAGGCGAGTGGAGATTTGTTTGTGGTGATGGAAACAATTGGGGAGAGTTGGAAGGGTGAAAACAAGCAGGCTGTGGAACTGCTCGCAGTAAGAGGCTGGGTCACTGAGACTGCTGCAGCACTGGAAAAGCACGAGTAGGTGGGGGTAATGAAACCCAGCCCCAGCAAAAATTGTGGGGATTGGTCCACTCACGACTATCCAAGCACTCCAAGAAATTGCACACACACAAAAACCAAAAATCCCCTAGGAAAAACCTGGTGATCAGAGGCACAAAACTGTCTATCCCTTGTGGAAACATGCGTCGAAACTGGCACCAGTGAGCACTAGAAAAGGACACCAGGTTAAAGAGAAATGGAGGCGATTGAAAGGCAGCAACGACGACCGTTTTCGATGGGAAAAACGGTCGAAAAAGGGTTGCAAAACGGCCTTTTATGCGAAAAAGCTATGGGCTGTTCCGACAACGAAGAGTGAACGGCGACAGGCCATGCAAATTTTGAAGAAAGATTACAAATAATCCAATGGTGGTGGTGTCGCATATTTCCGATGATAGAAACACCAAAAAATTGGCTGAGAAAATGGGGTTCACGAAAAAAGGCAATCACCGAAAATGAAGAAATCTCTCCAAAAATGGTCGGAAAAGGATCAAACAGAGCGGAAGAAAGCTCTTTCCAATTGGAGGACCAAATCCGGCAAAGGGACAGCAAAACAGCTATTGAGAGTTCTGGCAGCGAACTTGATTTGAGAGAAAAAAATTTCAAGAAATATTCTCTCCCTAAACCCTATAAAATCCTATACTTAATATAGGAAGTATATCATAACTAATTAAGGAATCTCAATTATGTAGATAGTGCATGTGGACAAGGGTCCCATATTCTCTACTCGGAATCCGAAATAATACAGTCACCGTGATAATATATTAAATTTAGCATCGAATAACGTGATAAAATCATGATCGTTTTATTTTAATTTAATATTAATCAATATTTAGAATTTTACACTTATTCGGTGCACAAATTTGATACACTATACTATAACATTATTCTAACCCGAAATCCTACCGTGACAAAGAAAGTAATTCTTTCTTACCTTAACCTATTTCATGTATAAATGAGCCTAAACACACATCATGATATCTCAATATTCAATCAAAAAAGACTCGCAATTGAAAAACTCTTAATTGGCCTGACTACTGCCGTATTTGCTGCCACCCCTATTTAACCCTGCATCCACAGTTCTTTTACAAGGACATAGGCAGAGCTGCAGTAAAAAATCATAAAAAAGTCACGAATTGAGGGTGGAATCTGGAGTTGTTGTGTTATGAAGGGCAAGACAACTCCATTTGGTATACTTTTTTTAATAATATTCTTTTTTATGATTTGATAGAATTTTGAAAATATGTTTGATATATTTTATGATATTTTCTGAAAATGTTAGATTATTTTTTAACGCCCTACATTTGTTAATTTAGCTAAACTTCCAATAAAGTTTATAAATTAATAAAAACACCCTTTCCCCCCACTCAACTAATTGATGGTATCGGCCACCACATCAACGGTAGCCAAAAGTCATCGGAATGGCACACGACCGATAGATCGACTGGTCGTACACTGATCTACCGTTTCTAACCAAACCACAATGGATCTGGTTGGAAACGGCCAAACATTAGTTGTTGATGATGAAATTTTTGGCCATCTTTGATGGCCAGTTTTTTGCCGTCGTTGGCTGTCAACAATGGCCAAGATATGGGCGTTGTTGGTCATAGATCTAACAAAAAACAGACAGATCGATGCATAATGGCCAGATCTGCTGGTTGTGCGTAGTTTTCGACGTCGATAGTTGGTGGTGGTAGCGGCAACGCCTGGCGACCAGCAGTGGTTGTTGGCAGGTGACGGTGTTGGGTGGTGAGGTGTTTTTGTTAATTTATAAATTTTATTGAGAAAAGTAATTGATAAATGTTTTAAGTTGAATGAAATAGGATTGAATTTTGAACAATATTAAAACAAACACGTTTTCATTTTTAGGTATGATAGTAAAATATAATAGGGTTGGAAAAGTACAACAGGGGATAAGATATCCTATTTAAAGTTTAAAATTAAATTTTTTTCTTATGACACCCCATAAATTCCATAAATACCCTTTATTCCATATTTTAAATTTAAAAAAATTACCATTTCATTCTCTTTACTTATGCTATTACTGTATAGCCTCATCATCTTTATTCTTAAGATAAAATTTTAGATAATAAAATTGATGTTAAGAAAAAATTTAAATTAAAAAAAATCATTTACAAAATATCCCAGAACTTAATACAATTAAACAACACAGATATATTATTAAACAGCTACCAATACTTTGAAAAAAAAAAAACAAAAAATTATCTTTTTGTTTTAAGAATGATTTGAATATCATTAAAAAAAAAAAAATAAAGGCTTATGAGATAATATAGTGTCAAAAGTATATAAGAATATGAAATTAAGCTAATTTTAATAATTTAACAAAGGATAATTTGTCATTATAAAATTTATAAAAAAGTTGGGTTATCTAGTCTATTAAGGGGATACCAGATCTACTCATATCATTATTATTCGATTTAGATAATTAAATTTGAAGGTAGTATTATATTTTCTGAATCATAATCACTCAGAATTAATTTTTCTAAAATAAAAACTTTTAATGTATATCATTTTATTAATTTTATTAATGAAAGTCTCTGTATATACAAAGTTCTCCCCTTGTGCTTTTCCATGTGGAAAATATGGCACAAAATATGATAGATAGGTTCTTACTTACATGGAGAATGCCAAAGCTGAGAATATAACCACAATGGCCAATCCTCATCTGCTTTGTTCTTTTCCAATATGGCTATTACATGGTTAATTTTATAGACCCCTAATAAGTTGTTGAATTCTGACAGAGACCATTTTTATTCAAAAGATGACAGAGATCCAAGCAAGGAAACATTCTTCCATAGCATCGGGATCGATCATGTCTCTCAGCTTTCAGGTTCCTCTTTTTCCTGCTGCGGTGAGGACCTGCATGTTACAGAGCTTTTTTCAAAAATCTTTCTGTCAACAAGACTGTTAATAACTTAAATATCAAATATTGAATAGGTCTAGTGGTTACAAAACAATCAACTGTCTTTTAATCTGGTTCTTCGAGTATTCTAAGATACTTCTCACATATAAACACTATTCTATGTTTAGGTAAACCTTAGGTTAGGCGTAAGTGATTGAAACATAAAACAGAGAACAAAATGGCATTGGAATTTAATTTGCTACATGGTGCTTACCCTTGAGCATTTACCCAGCGTGAGAATTGATAGAGTTGCACAGTCTCATTTGCACATGACCCACTAAAAGATTTAAGTTGCGTGGCTGAACCATCCATGCAAACCTCATGAACAACGCAGAATAACGCACAAAACTGCAACAAAATTACTACAACTCTAAGCCAACATACAAGGAGTCTTCAAGAAAATATATATTTTGTTTGGATTCTGTCAAACAGTAAAACTAAACCTCCTGTCATCCTTCCAGAGATTTGTTCAGGTGGTTTATTTCTGTCTACATTGCCTGTGAGAAACAATTATATCAGCTATATCAATATGTCATAGAAAAAGCTACAATAAATAGCATTTGAGTATGAATGTGTACCGCAATAGGAAGACTCCAGTTAAAAACAGGGCCCCAAAGTGAGTCGTTTTGGGACCAATAGGACTTTTCCATAAAGTCTTGAGGATTTCCATTTATAAGCTATATTGCAGCTTGTACAACTGCTTACAATAATCAGTTTTTCATATCAAAATTTCACAACTCCAAAGCAATTTACATCCAGAAAAATTCAAAAATCAAATTCATATAAGAAAGTTTAGCATATGAACCTCTGGTTCAATTTACTTCTACTGGATATAGAAACACTTACCCAGATGCAAGAAAGAGAGACACTAAAAACAAGGTAGTTTCGTTTGTCTCTCGGGTGTGGATGATCCTAAAAGAATGATAACTTCAAAGGAGGATGTATTCCACCCAAGTGTACCGGACCAGTAAAGTTTTTTTTTTAAGATGTAAAGATATATACCAGTCCCATCTGCTTTGAACGACTGCTAACCTTTCCTGAAAGAGACCATTCCCATTATTGTGGCTAACTTTTTTTTGATTCACTTGTTTAATATGTGAAAGTGACGTCTAGCTGTTTAAACCCTCCATTATGTTCTTTTCTTTGTCATTATACCTTTTTAGTATCTGCAATTTGCCATTTTCTATTGTAATTGGGGTCTTGGAGACAATGCTTGCTGCATTATGTTCATTTTATTTTTTTGGTTACAAGATAATTTAGTATCTGCAATTCGCCCTTTTTTTTATTGTAATCGAGACTATGCTTCCACCAATCAAACCCCTTTGCCTTTTCTTTTTCTTTTGGTTTTTTCCTCTGAAAACAGAAACCAAGTTACAGAACTCCAGACTATTTAAGGGCGTGCGAAGACTTGAAATAGACCCTGCCCATATTTTGTTACAGTAAGAACTTGATTAAATTTTGCCTTCAGTAAAACTGATTAAATTTTTGCCTTCACCTGAGTGGTTTTCAGTTTCCTCTTTCCAGACGTGGGCTGCTCAGCATGACGATTGAACACACCAATAAAAAAAAAATTCTATTGAAAATGAAAAAAAAAAAAAAAAAGAGGATTCAAGAATCCAATATACTTTTAATTTAACTAAGGATTTTTAATGTTTACAGGAATTATTATAAAACTAATCTACAAGATTACAACTTCTTGTCAACAGTCAAACATTTCCACTACATTACCCAAATTTGCAATGGAAACTAAAACTACATCCGTTACTCACTAATCTAACATGGTCAGATCTCTCATCTACAAGAATTCTCTCTGTACATTAAAACTCAGATACTTTACAGATTTACAGACACAAAGCTTCATAATTTTGGTCCCATTGAGAACTTTCCGGACAAGAATGTCACCATAAGCACACCCTGTCTCACATCCACAAACCTTTTACTTTTCAGCACCTGCAAGTGGTTATATAAACAACATTGTGGGTTCTGAATAACATTTTATGATTGAAACTTTAACATTTTTTGGAAGGCTGGTGCTGGGACAAGTTTCTTTATCACAACGAAGGAAAACAGAGGGGCTTGTAACTTAATTTGGATCTTATCTTTTGGGCAGTAAGTTGTCCAATATCGAGAGCCCAAGCCCCAATGTTAAGCCCTTTTTTTCAGGTTTATTTTAAGATATGCACAGTGACGTGAAAACTCATTAATGTACTGACAGTGACACCCGATTAATGTACTAAAGAAAACTCATTTCTTAATCCCTTACAAAGTGACGTTATTTGCCATGTCACCCACTTGCCACCTTAGCATTTTCTAAAGTATTTACAGATTTGAAAACCGGACAAACACTCCCCTGCCCCTCACTCTCTCTTTCCCTCCCTTTTTCCACTCTCATCTTTCTCCTTCTCAGTAGCTAGATTAAAAGAGGGAGAAGGATCCAGCTCCAGATACACAGAGAGACGGAAAATGGATCGTTCACCTCAATCCGATTCCACACGTTTCATAGATCAGGATTATCAGGATTATCTAGGATTAGTTTCTAATGGATATTTCAGAGATCACGATTTTTATCAGGATTATCAAATGTTCCTTTCTAATCGCGAAGTTCCTTTTTAAGAAGAACTAGAAGACGATGGAGTAGAAGAAGGAGGAGTTACTAATACGGGTGATGAAGAGATGGAAGATCCGGTGGTGGAGTCAATTTCTGTGACGCTAACTGACCCAAAAGTTTTTGATTGCCCCATCTGCTTTGAGCCGTTGTACTCTCCCGTCTTTCAGGTTTTTTTTTATTTTTTTTTCCTTCAAGTTTTGTCTTTTACACGTATTTGTGCTTGTATGAAGTTCAACTCATTTGGGTTTATTTTGTTTTGCTTGGTTTCCTATATTTTTATTATTCCGGAGTTGATTGTATTGAGATGCTTTTAAGAACTAGTAGTTTTTGTGGCTGGGGAGAATTTATAATTGGATCATTAACTTAAGAGCGATTTTACTATACTGGGGAGGTACGGATACCGGTTTGTTGTAGACGGTTGGTTAGGATAAAGTAATCCTCATCTGATAGTCCCAATTTTCCTGTATGATACCTTCCCGGTATAGTAGAATCACACCAGAATAAAAAGTTTAGGGCTTTTTTTTTATTTGGATAGTTGAGACAACAGTTCAGGGCTGTAATGATGAAGCCTGTGCAGACTTCCTATTTGGGATTTATGTAACTTGTAGTTTGCTCATGAATTCGTTGGGTAAATTAACTTAAACACTAAAGAAGTTTTATCCAAGGGTTTTGATCCTGTTGTCTCTGGAAGTCTTTAATTATTCATTCGAATATTGTAGAAACAGGGTCTGTAGATGATAAAAACCAAGAGAGTCAAACTTGTTAAGTTTAGATTTTATCTTTGAGATTTTGTGTTATGTTGGTGTCTATTGACATTCATACATGCATGCATAAATACATGCGTGTAGATATGTCAAGCAGGAAAGTCTGGGTACTTGTCTTCTCTGTTGCATAGAATTTTCTCTTACAGGAAGATATTGGTATGCTGGAAGCTCTCTATTTTAATGTGAAATATATAGTTTTTGTGAAGAAATTGTGGTATATACTGCGTCATATCCTACACTGTTATAAGAGTGCATGTAAGTTATTAGGTGTGTATAATGGACATGCATGCTTGAGCATTTACATATAATTCTGTTTTGAAATCTGTTTGATAATCTTCCCTGCGCTAGCAATTCCTTGTCCAAATATAACAATCTGACGTCTTTTTTTCATGCTCGTGGCATGTCAGTGTGAAAATGGGCATATAGTTTGCTCTTCGTGCTGCACCCAAATCAGGAACAAATGTCCCTCCTGCCGTTTGCCTATTGGACATAACCGTTGCCTAGCAATTGAGAAAGTTTTAGAATCTATCAAAGTAAAATGTCAAAACACAAGGTACGGGTGCAAAGAAACAACGAGTTATGGCAAGAAACTCGATCATGCGAAGACATGCCACCATGCACCATGCTCATGCCCCTTGTCAGACTGCAATTTTGTTGGTTCTTGTACCCAGTTATACAAACACTTCAGGGATGAACATGAGAATTCATCAGTAAAATTTCAGCACAACAAAGTCTTCCAAATTACCTTAAATTTTGATGACACTTTCATTGTTCTTCAAGAAGAGAAGGATGGTGTCTTGTTTATTCTTAACATCAGAATTGAATCTCTGACGAATGTAATTTCTGTTTGTTGTATTGCGCCCTCAGCGAAGGAACAGATCTATTATGATATTGTGGCAGAATCTGGGGGAAGCATTATTAGATTTCAGTCTTACGCAAAGAACATTCAAAGCTGGATTGATAACCAACCTTCATCTGGCATCCTACTTCCAGCTGATTCCTCTGGTCATTCTGGGCAGCTCAAGTTGGAGATTTGCGTAAGTGATGCAGGACTGACTTTTGTAAATTAAAATTAGTTTTTATTTTCCTTTTTGTTATTAGATTTTCTAATTTTGCTTGTCTTAAATGACTTCTTCAAAAAGATACATATTCTAGTTGTTAAATTTTAATCATAACCCTTAAAACCTTACCCTTTATTAAGTAATTTGATTCACGTTTTTATTTTACTTTCATTATACCAACTCAAATTATTAATTTGCAAAAGTTAATTATTTTCGCTTTTATCAAATTAATGATTTGTAATACAAACTATAAATATATATCATCCTTAACATTGATAAGGATATTAATGTAAAATACTTGTTTTCAAATATTTAAAATTTGTAAAAACAAATATTTACAATGGATATTTAAAATTTACAAACAAACAATCATAAATATTAAATTCAGTCTTATTCCTTTATTCAAAGAGCAAATTATTGAATAAAGAACGATGACTTATAGTCAAATATATTAGGACTCTGCCAACAACACAGGCTGCTGGATACGAAGCATGTGGATTTGGATGGTTTATTTAACAGCTAATTAGTTGAGGTATTAGCATGTCTTGGAACTGTTGATAAGTAATTAAGAGACTATTAATTTATATTGTTTTTTAACCTGAGGTTATGGATGTTTTCACCAATATATCAAAATCTTCCATGGGGTGACTGGTTCACCTTGATTTGAGTTTGTTGACAGCTGCTGCTTTCTGGGGTTTATCGTGTTCATTCTATTTTTCAGAGCAATAAGTACTTAATCTGAAGTAGATGTTTTATAAAATTTATGCAATGTCTTTTAATTTTCTTTTTTCTCCTTTTCTTGTTTATGAAAACAGATATTTATAAAATTACAAGAAAAGTGTGAATAGTTTTTAGCCTTTCTAAGAATATGCACGTCTCTGCTACAATCTTGCTTTGTACTCGTTCTTTATCTGCTCCATTTTTGTCTATGTTTGTGTGGCCAATGCACATTCCACTATCTTGCTGAGTATGCAACTGCAAATTGGGTAAAAAGTTTATGTTTACACTTTACAGTACTGGTTCTATTACTCTACCTTAAATGCTACTCTATTAACTTTCCTTTAGTTAATCTAACTCTGTTTTTTATTGAATGTGATTACTGAAATTATTTATTTATATGTTTCTGAGTATCTGGACTAGTTCAACATTCATCGTATTATGTATGACGCCCTTTGTGATTTTTCATTTTTTAATCGGTATCTGTAACACCCGCATTAAGGTTTTGGCAACACTGTCCGAATGCATTTTATATTTGTTTATGTAATTTGGTTACTTGATGTATAGATATTTATATAAATTAAGGTTAATATTTTGGGCCCTATGTGACACACTTATATACACATGTGTTTTCTAAGAATTAGTAAGTGAGTTTTATTTTATATCTCAAAAAGCATTACTAGCTAGAGAAGATATTACAGTATCGGTACAAAATATCTGAGTGGTGACCAAAACCTTGTAGGCATGATCGGGAGGCTGGGTCCAATGCCTGTAATGCTGATTCATTCACTTGGAGAAGAATAAAAATAAGCACTCTAAATCTTTCTAGTCATGTGATGTATGTCAAGTTTGCATTTTTAGGTGTTTCAGATATGAAATTAATTTGTGTTGAATTTCACTATGATTACCTCCTTTTTATAGTTAACAACTCTTTTGTGCTGCAGCCCATTATCACGTCAGGATCTTGTAAGTTTGAAGATGGCCCTTGCGAAAAGACAACTCCCAGAAGCTGACAATGCATGTTTGATGCCTCACCCTGAACCTAAGCAATGCATGTTTGAGCATATTTATTTTCCACTGCATAATTCAGATGTTTTTGGGGGGTCTGTCTAAGGTTACTATGTTAGAGTGGAATATGAGTGAGAAACATGGCCAAAATCACAACACTTAGGCATCTCTTAGGGATCCACTCTTATTCCACTCTAACCTTAATGGGTTCCGAAGATAACCGACATATGATGTCAAGAGAAAAATGAGCATGCCATTGTTGCAAAAAAAAATGGACTTACCCCCAAACATCCATGGCCCTCTCTCCAAAATCGAATGCACATCATCCTCATCTCAAAATTTGAATATCAAAAAACAAGTGTCAATGGACATAGCATCTTCCAAACCATCCATTTTCCATGCATGGAAGGCGATCGAGCGTGCAACAAGGAAGGGCATAAAATATCCTAGAAAAAACCCACAGTACAACGATGTCAATCGGCATCATTATCATCAATAACATCATCAAAAATCCAAAGCTGCCCATCCTTAATATCAAGTGTGAAATGAGTACTAGCCTCTGTGACTCTTACTTTATCCGCCCAAAGAGGAAAATGTTTTTGTTGTTTTTTTATACCCAACTTTCTTGTCAATAACTGGCTTCGAAGTTGGTTACTATTCACGTGGCTTAGAAGACGCCCAATTGAGTTTGAAGAGCTTCTTGGAATTTGGTATTGTTAAAATATGAAAAGTTCCCAAAGCTTTACCTGAAGTATCATGATTCTCAAACTCAAGAAACCCAAAACTGCTGATTTTGTAATAAAAAATCTTAGCTCCTTTAATTGCTCCATTTGCAAAAGCATTAAGCAAATACTTGTCATCCATCCAAGATTTCAAGTCTCCAATCCATAAGGTTTGGCCCACTTTTTTGGTAGGTAGGGGCTTCTCAGAAGAGGCATTAGCAGTGGCTAAAGGTTTAGTTTGGATGGGGGAGAGATGGGGTTGGTTGAGAGTGATGCAGTTGGTTGAGACATTTCGTCGAGCAAGTGGTGGCATGGTTAAAAGGGTTATGCCTGGGCAAACGGAAAGGTGGAGAAGATGGTTAGAAGTATTTAGAGGCGAGTGGAGATTTGTTTGTGGTGATGGAAACAAGTGGGGAGAGTTGGAAGGGTGAAAACAAGCAGGCTGTGTAGACTGCTCGCAGTAAGAGGCTGGGTGCACTGAGACTGCTGCAAGCACTGGGAAAAGCAGCGAGTAGGTGGGGGGTAATGAAACCCAGCCCCAGGCAAAAATGTGGGGGATTTGGTCCACTCACGACTATCCAAGCACTCCAAGAAATTGCACAAACAACAAAAACCAAAAATAACCTAGGAAAAACCTGGTGATCAGAGGCACAAAACTGTCTATCCCTTGGTGGAAACATGCGGTCGAAACTGGCAACCAGTGAGCAACTAAGGAAAAAGGACACCAGGGGTTTAAAGAGAAGATGGAGGCGGATTGAAAGGCAGCAACGACGACCGTTTTCGATGGGAAAAACTGTCGGAAAAAGGGTTGCAAAACGGCCTTTTATGCGAAAAAGCTATGGGCTGTTCCGACAGACGAAGAGTGAACAGGCGACAGGCCGATGCAAATTTTGAAGAAAGAGATTACAAATAATCCAATGGTGGTGGTGTCGCATATTTCCGATGATAGAAACACCCAAAAATTGGCTGAGAAAATGGGGTTCACGAAAAAAGGCAATCACCGAAAATGAAGAAAATCCGTCCAAAAATGGTCGGAAAAGGATCAAACAGAGCGGGGAAGAAAGCTCTTTCCATATTGGAGGACCAAATCCGGCAAAGGGACAGCAAAACAGCTAGTGAGAGTTCTGGCAGCGAACTTGAGTTGAGAGAAAAAAATTTCAAGAAATAAATTCTCTCCCTAAACCCTATAAAATCCTATATACTTCAATATAGGAAGTATAATCATAACTAATTAAGGAATCTCAATTATGTAGATAGTGCATGTGGACAAGGGGTCCCATATTCTCTACTCGGAATCCGAAATAATACAGTCACCGATGATAATATATTAAATTTATGCATCGAATAACGTGATAAAATCATGATCGTTTATTAATTTTAATTTAATATTAATCAATATTTAGAATTTTATCACATTATTCGGTGCACAAATTTGATACACTATACTATAACATTATTCTAACCCGAAATCCTACCGTGACAAAGAAAGTAATTCTTTCTTACCTTAACCTATTTCACTGTATAAATGAGCCTAAACGACATCATGATATCTCAATATTCAATCAAAAAAGACTCGCAATTGAAAAACTCTTAATTGAGCCTGACTACTGCCGTATTTTGCTGCCACCCCTATTTTAACCCTGCAATCCCACAGTTCTTTTACAAGGACATAGGCAAGAGCTGCAGTAAAAAAATCATTAAAAAAGTCAACGAATTGAGGGTGGAATCGTGAAGTTGTTGTGTTATGAAGGGCAAGACAACTCCATTTGGTATACTTTTTTTAATAATATTCTTTTTTAATAGGATTTGATAGAATTTTGAAAATATGTTTGATATATTTTTATGAAAATATTTTCTGAAAATAGTTAGATTATTTTTTAACGCCCTACATTTGTTAATTTAGCTAAACACTTCCTAAAATAAAAGTTTATAAATTAATAAAAACACCCTTATCCACCCACTCAACTAATTGATGGTAGTCGGCCACCATCATCAGACGGTAGCCAAAAGTCATCGGAATGGCACACGACCGGATAGATCTGACTGGTCGTACACTGATCTAGCCGTTTCTAACCAAACCACAATGGATCTGGTTGGAAACGGCCAAACATTTAGTTGTTGATGATGATAATATTTTGGCCATCGTTGATGGCCAGATTTTTTGCCGTCGTTTGGCTGTCAACAATGGCCAAGATATGGGCGTTGTTTGGTCATAGATCTAACAAAAAACAGACAGATCGATGCATAATTGGCCAGATCTGGCTGGTTGTGCGTAGTTTCGACGTCGATAGTTGGTGGTGGTAGCGGCAACGACTGGCGACCAGCAGTGGTTGTTGGCAGGTGACTGTTGCTTGGGTGGGTGGAGGTGTTTTTGTTAATTTATAAATTTTTATTGAGAAAAGTAATTGATAAATGTTTTAAGTTGAATGAAATAGGATTGAATTTTGAACAATATTAAAACAAACACGTTTTTCATTTTTTAGGATATGATAGTAAAATATAATAGGGTTGGAAAAGTAAACAAACAGGGGATAAGATATCCTATTTAAAGTTTTAAAATTAAATTTTTTTCTTATGACACCCCATAAATTCCATAAATACCCTTTATTCCATATTTTAATATTTAAAAAAAATTAACATTTCATTCTCTTTACTTATGCTATTACTGTATAGCCTCATCATCTTTATTCTTAAGATAAAATTTTAGATAATAAAATTGATGTTAAGAAAAAATTTAAATTAAAAAAAATCATTTACAAATAATCCCAAGAACTTAATACAATTAAACAACACAATGAATATATAGATTAAAACAGCTACCAATACTTTGAAAAAAAATAACAAAAAATTATCTTTTTGTTTTAAGAATGATTTGAATATCATTAAAAAAAAAAAAAAATAAAGGCTTATGAGATAATAATAGTGTCAAAAGTATTTATAAAGAATATGAAATTAAGCTAATTTTAATAATTTAACAAAAGGATAAATTTGTCATTATAAAATTTATAAAAAAGTTGGGTTTATCTAGTCTATTAAGGGGATACCAATAGATCTACTCATATCATTATTATTCGATTTAATGATAATTAAATTTGAAGGTAGTATTAATATTTTCTGAATCATAGATCACTCAGAATTAATTTTTCTAAAATAAAAACTTTTAATGTATATCATTATTATTAATTTTATTAAATGAAAGTCTCTGTATATATCAAAGTTCTCCCCTTGTGCTTTTCCATGTGGGGAAAATATGTGCACAAAATATGATAGATAGGTTCTTACATTACATGGAGAATGCCAAAGCTGAGAATATAAGCCACAATGGCCAATCCTTCATCTGCTTTGTTCTTTTCCAATATGGCTATTACATGGTTAATTTTATAGACCAACTAATAAGTTGTTGAATCTTCTGACAGAGACCATTTTTATTCAAAAGATGACAGAGATCCAAGCAAGGAAACATTCTTCCATAGCATCTGGATCGATCATGTCTCTCAGCTTTCAGGTTCCTCTTTTTCCTGCTGCGGTGAGGACCTGCATGTTACAGAGCCATTTGTTCAAAAATCTTTCTGTCAACAAGGACTGTTAATAACTTAAATATCAAATATTGAATAGGTCTAGTGGTTACAAAACACAAACAACTGTCTTTTTTAATCTGGGTTCTTCGAGTATTCTAAGATACTTCTCAGTTCTCACATATATAACACCAGAAGCAAACTATTCTATGTTTAGGTGAACCTTCGGTGAGGCGTAAGTGATTGAAGCTATAAAACAGAGAACAAACTGGTATTGGAATTTAATTTGCTACATGGTGCTTACCCTTGAGCATTTACCCAGCGTGAGAATTGATAGAGTTGCACAGTCTCATTTGCAGCATGACACACTAAAAGATGTAAGTTGCGTGGCTGAACCATCCATGCAAACCTCATGAACAACGCAGAATAAACGCACAAAACTGCAACAAAATTACTACAACTCTAAGCCAACATACAAGGAGTCTTCAAGAAAAATATATATTTTGTTTGGATTCTGTCAAACAGTAAAACTAAACCTCCTGTCATCCTTCCAGAGATTTGTTCAGGTGGTTTATTTCTGTCTACATATGCCTGTGAGAAACAATTATATCAGCTATATCAATATGCCATAGAAAAAGCTACAATAAATAGCATTTGAGTATGAATGTGTACCGCAATAGGAAGACTCCAGTTAAAAACAGGGCCCCAAAAGTGAGTCGTTTTGGGACCAATAGGACTTTTCCATAAAGTCTTGAGGATTTCCATTGATAAGCTATATTGCAATTTGTACAACTGCTTACAATAATCAGTTTTTCATATCAAAATTTCACAACTCCAGAAGCAATTTACATCCCAGAAAAATTCAAAAATCAAATATTCATATAAGAAAGTTTAGCATATGAAACCTCTGGTTCAATTTACTTCTACTGGATATAGAAACACTTACCCAGATGCAAGAAAGAGAGACACTAAAAACAAGGTATGTTCGTTTGTCTCTCGGGTGTGGATGATCCTAAAAGAATATGATAACCTCAAAGGAGGATGTATTCCAACCCAAGTGTACCGGACCAGTAAGCAACTAAGCAATGACGTCTAACTTTGAATCACTTGAAAAAGTTTTTTTTTTAGATGTAAAGATATATACCAGTCCCATCTTGCTTTGAACGACTGCTAACCTTTCCTGAAAGAGACCATTCCCATTATTGTGGCTAACTTTTGTTTGATTCAACTTGTTTAATATGTGAAAGTGACGTCTAGCTGTTTTAACCCCTCCATTATGTTCATTTTCTTTGTCATTATACCATTTTAGTATCTGCAATTTGCCATTTTCTATTGTAATTGGGGTCTTGGAGACAATGCTTGCTGCATTATGTTCATTTTATTTTTTTGGTTACAAGATTAATTTAGTATCTGCAATTCGCCCTTTTTTTTTATTGTAATCGAAGACTATGCTTCCACCAATCAAACCCCTTTGCCTTTTTTTTTCTTTTGGTTTTTTTCTCTGAAAACAGAAACCAAGTTACAGAATTCCAGACTATTTAAAGGGCTGCGAAGACTTGAAATAGACCCTGCCCATATTTTGTTACAGTAAGAACTTGATTAAATTTTTGCCTTCACCTGAGTGGTTTCCAGTTTCACTCTTTCCAGACGTGGGCTGCTCAGCATAGACGATTGAACACAACCAATAAGAAAAAATTTCTATTGAAAATGAAAAAAGAAAAAAAGAGGATTCAAGAATCCAAATATACTTTTAATTTAACTAAGGAGTTTTAATGTTTACAGGAATTATTATAAAACTAATCTACAAGATTACAACTTCTTGTCAACGTCAAACATTTCCACTACATTACCCAAATTTGCAATGGAAACTAAAACTACATCCTATTACTCACTAATCTAACATGGTCAGGATCTCTCATCTACAAGAATTCTCTCTGTACTTAAAAACTCGATACTTACAGATTTACAGACACAAAGCTTCATACTTTGGTCCCTTGAGGAACTTTCCGGACAAGAATGTCACCATAAGCATCACCCTGTCTCACATCCACAAACCTTTTACTTTTCAGCACCTGCAAAGTGGTTATATAAAACAAATTGTGGGTTCTGAATAACATTTTATGATTGAAACTTTAACATATTTTGGGAAGGCTGGGCTGGGACAAGTTTCTTTTTCAACAACAAAGGAAAAAATATAAGCATTAATTGAACAATGAAAACTTCGAGACATATATCTAGACCAAATTTTCAAGTACTCCTAGAGGTCAACTTTCTCTTCATATCACAATTGTTAGAGAGGAATGACTTGAAGAATTTTGCTACTTTTAGAATAAAATACTAAAAAACTGAAGAAGATTAATTGAAGCAAAAAATATAGACCCTATAAGTCTTTCTATCGACAGAAGAAAAAACCGAAGAAACAAGTTCCAAAAGAGATATTTCCATCATGAAACATGGCAGAACATTGACTACGGATCCTTTTTCTAAGAAAGAAACTTTAGATAGTAACACATATAGAAAAAAATAACATAATAAGAGCCCGTTTCGTAATGGAAATCAGAAATTAAAAATTGTATTATCAAAATTTGAGATTGTGTTGGGTTGATAATTTGAAAACAAGTTTTTAAATAAAACAATGAAAATTCGCTGTCACTGGTATTTGGATGAGTAAAGAAAAAGCTTGTGTTTTTTAGCAGCTGCTTTTCAAATATGCATCAAAAGCTCAAAGTCATTTTTGAGTTAAATATTAGTTTCTCAAAACCCAATACAACATATCTGCTTTGGATTGTAAAACAAAAAATGATTTCAAAAAAGTACTGTACAAAATGTCAAATCTAATTATTTGGAAACAAGTTATTGGTTCACCATTAAAAAATAAAAAACTAGTGGCTTGTTGAAGGACAAACTAGGGATGTTCAAAAAAAGTGAAACCGAACCGAATTTCGGTTATCCAAAAAACCATTCGGTTTCGGTTCAAAGAATTAAAAATTGAATTTTTAGTTCGATTACCGTTTGGGAGAAATGAGAAACGGTTAACCAAACCGATTCTAACACCGGTTATATAAAAATATAAATATAATATAAAATAAAAATATCCGTTTATTATAAAAAATTAAATAAAAAAATATAAAACATTAAATTAAAACCGTTCAAAACCGGTTAACCGGTTTTTTGATTAACCGAAAAAACCGTTTTCCTCTTAACCAGTTCGGTTTTGGTTCAAGAAAATTCCTGAACCGAAAAACCGTTCGGTTTACAAAATCGGTTTCGTTAACCTTTTTGAACACCCCAGACAAAACCTATGAACTAAAGAAATATTCTAAAACACAAACAGAACATACTGTACTCGTAAAAAAGCCTTGCACTTTCTTTCTTTGTTTTTCCTTCCAAAAGCAGCGACAAATTCACTGCTTCATCCTCACTTCTATTCTTGTGATATTGAAAACTTCGATGCAAGTACCCAGCCACTGTTCTGTACAGCCACAAGTTTAACAAATTCAACGAAAAAGCTTACAAACAGTATTGGGATTAATGTACAACCAAAAGTGGATGATTGCAGCAGCCTTACCTGGTTCTTGCAGAGAATTCATCTGCAATCAACATGAAATTCAGATAAGAATGTTGCATGAACAAAAATGACATCTAACATGATTACAAGCTCGCTGTTAAGTAGCCAAAAAAAAAAAAAGTGCTTACGCAGTTCCTGGTATCTTCTCAAATAAATTTGCTTCCTGAAATAAGTCAAGATGAATAAACGATAACTACAATGATTCTGTGTTTCCACAAACAGGAAAAAAGAAAGAATGACCGAATTGCAATTCTTAACAATTAAAAAGACTATGTAATGAAACGACATTAAAGTTTGGAAGGCAGCATCAATATTGCACATGCTGATTGAGAACCACAATTTGGTTAAAGTCAAACTTATCACAACTACATAATATAAAAGGAAATTAATATCTCAGCATATAATCACTTGTTAAAAAAAAACTTCTGAATAGGAAGTGTTGAAATACAATTGATCTGAAAAAGTTAAGTTGATAGGAAAAGGTTAAACATGGCAGTAAGCCCTAACATACCCCCTGATGCATATAACATATTCAATTAACGGACTTGACATGTGGAAGCATCCAGCACATTACAAGCTCAACCTGCTTTGTATGGGGAACCAAGCTCCAATACCATGTTGAGACATCATTAATCCCAATAATTATAAGAAAAAGTCAAAAATAGTATCTAAACTTTAACAAGAAGACTGCTAAGTAGGATTACAAATTTACCCGAGCACAAGTAATATACAGCTCAGTCTACATGCAATATGCAATGACAGCATTTACTGCCTCTTAAAAGAAAAGCAACATTAAAATAAAGCTTGCTTAATTTCTTTACCTCGGTAATCAAAGTGGGTTGAATCCTTGACCCTTGCTTGAAGATGGCCCCTTCTCTGTAATCTGAAATGACTGACTGGTATTACTGTATCCAAGAGAGAGTTTTTGAGGCTCCCCAGAGATGGTTTTAGCCACTAACTGTAATATGGGTGTTCTGGGGCAACAGCCATTTGTTCAGATCTGCTAGGTGTTCCAGGATCAACAGCCATGGTTTTAAAGGTCTAGCTGTAGGTGTTCCTGGAGCAATTTGCCCAAAGATCTAGCTGTAGGTGTTTCTGAGCAATTTGCTCTAAATATCTAGATGTAGGTGTTCTGGAGCAACAGCCATTTTCTCTAAAGATCTAGCTGTAGGAGTTCCTGGGCAACAGCCGTTGCTCTAAAGATCTAGCTGTGGTGTTTCTGGAGCAACAGCCAGTTGCTCCATCGATCTACCAACAGCAGGAGATTCTGGTTCTAAGGCTCCCTGTTTCAGAAGTCCCTGCAATCTTCAATCTTCTTGGCAAAATGTAAGCTCAAAGAAATACCTGCCAAAAAAAAAAAAAATGGTTAGTAATAATAAAACTAGGAAATGAAGAGCAATATAACATTTACTTACAAGGCAGCAAAGGCACGAAGAAACCCTGTGAAAGATTGGATTCCGCAAGGCTTTCAGGCAGTGAGAGCAGTACGAACTTTTCTGCGTTTTGACACCAAGTCACTTGCATCTTCTATATGTTGCCTAATTAGACTGCAAAAGTTGAACAGAACATCATACATTGTACAATTGCTAAGATAATGACATCCAACTAGGGTCCTCACTTTACCCAATAATAAGAAGAATATGCTCATGGGAGTCATTCAAACATGGCATGTAACTAAAGCTTTTATCCTCCAGGATCAGTTGCATTAAATATGAAGAGTGCAAAAAAATCAAATTAAGGTGTTTTCATGTAAGAATAATAATACACATACAAACTCCCTATTCAACTCTTTTAGATGATAATGCTGCATGGCTCTTACGTCATTCATTTTAGTTTGCTTTGTTTATTTTTAGTATTCACCCCTCAAATAATATATGCTATAGAGAGTTTTCAGAATTATGTGTCACATAAACACTGAATCACTGACACTCGGATCTACAATGAAAAACTTTTAGCCCTTAATGTAGCAGCAGTTAAATGTATATCTTTGAATACAGAGCTCCGCATCACACAAATGTAAAAAGATTCTTTCTCAGTTTAACTCATCACATAAAATCTCTTTCCCCAGTGACTTGCAGAGAAAAAAGAGAGAAGAGATAGAGAATTAATTTAACAGAAGCCATAAAAGAAAATTACTATTATAATAATAATAATAATACATGGCAGCAGTCTTGTGCATCTCATCAGGTAGCTGTAACAATTGCTGAAGTCATGCAACCATTATCAAAACCATGTCAAAATTATAAAATAAAGTATAGTTGATCATCTACAGGTTAGCAGCTGAGACTCCTGAGAGTTGTCCACTTGAACAAATGTAAGAGTTAAATAAGGATAACATTCACTTACTGATTGGGAAACACTGTAACATCATCAAAGCAACATTTTCTTTTTTTTTTACTCCGAGCACGCTCCTTGGTAGCTGGGGTGTGAACAACCATAAACCCTGGTGTACTATCTCCTGCATTCAAAGGAAAATTAAGTAGGAGAAACTAGTTAAAAACTAATAAGGCAGTTAAGCTTTACAAGTCATTACATGACAAAGATATGCCAGTCTTATTAAAGAGGAAACTGATATTCTGCAGCTCAGAAATTGAGAGCTTAAACACACCCCTTTAGGTGCGATATCATATAATTAAAGTTCTCTTTTACCTGAAGCATCAAGGAACTTGGATTGAGGAGTTGCATCCACTGTAATTGATACTGGATCCTCGCTTGTCATAAACTGACATTTACCATTTCCTGGCAATGACTTTTCCTGGGAATTCATTAGCTCTGCGTTAGTATGATGCTCTCCACCAGATGATTTAATTGATTCTGAAGGTTCCTTAGACCTAATAAACATTTCAACATCTACAGATACTGCTTGACACAATATATGGTCTAGAAGCTTCTCCGTGCTTGCTTGTAAGTTACTTAAATTATTGTCTTTATTTATAGCCAAGCACGTCTCTTTTTTCAACTGTGCCAAATGTGGAAGATTTGTCAGCTCTCCATCCGATGGATGGTCTTCAGCAGATGATTTAATTAATTCTGAAGGTTCCTTAGACGTACTAAACATTTCAACATCTACAGATGCTTCTTGACACAATCTGTGGTCTAGAAGCTTCTCCATGCTTGCTTGTAAGTTACTTAAATTATTGTATTCATTTACAGCCAAGCATGTCTCTTTTTCGAACCGTGCCAAACCCAGAAGATTTGTCAGCTCTCCATCAGATTGATGGTCTTCATCATATAATTTAACATGGTCCAGAGGCTCTTCTCCAACATCATGTAACCTCTCATCCAGAAGCATCTCTGCGCCTAGTTCTCCTTGCACTTCATTCTCTGACTGTGTGATTTCTGGAACCTGCTCTCCAAATGGTTCAATAGGGTTTGAAGCATCTCCTTCAGTCCCACAAAATGTATCAAGGTTTACCCCTTCTTCTCGAGTGAAAATATTGCCTCGAAGCTTCTCCATGCTTGCTTCTAAGTTGCTGAAATCATGTGATATGCGCACATTCATATCAGTCTCCATTAAGTGAGATGCGAAAATGCTGCAAAGGGCATATCAAAAAAGAGAGAGAAGAAATCATAAGAACCTCTTGGTTTATAACAAACAAAATACAAGAAGTACAACAAATTATATATGGTACATACTCTTCAGCTGGAATGTAATCAGTGGAAAAAGTGTCATGCCATGCAGGAAAGTCCTCAAAAGGATACTGCAAAATTAGAAAAACTAGTAAGTACACATCTTATTTGAAACTTGGTAGAGTGTTATTATTACAGTTAACTCATTGGCTAAATTCGGCCACACAAGTAGGGGTAACATGAAAGAGTTTTAAAATAATTGTTGGGCCCTTTCATACAAGTATTCAACAAAAGTTAAATATCAGAACACGGAACTGATGGCCATTTCAACAACATTTACAACTCTTTTTTAATAGAAACAATATTTACAAATGGTTTGTTAATTAGCTTTAATTTTTTATACTAACTCTAATATTGGGTTAAGATTAAACCAAAGTTTTGGAACTAAAAAAGCCAATAAGTAAAAGATCTCAAGTAACCAAATTATGATCTAAATTGAGTAGATAAAATGCATGAACAGATTGAATTTATGTCTTAATATTCTCCAGGTAAGCAAAATTTGAAAGCAAACAAGAATATACAAACACTATTCAATTTCCTATCAGAGAGATTCACAAAGTATCTTAGACACAAATATGTATTTGGCGATATCAATCAACAAAAGCACCCTGAACAAAGTTAAACTGAAGCTTGAACACTCTAAACAAGAGTATAAAATCTATATACACCTTTCCCAGAGAGTACTGCTGCATTTCCCGTGCTTTCGAGGCACCATCTGTTCATTACATAACAAATTACATAAAAAGCAAAACAGGCAGAATGATAAAGAGAGTATTTGAAACAATTCCATTACCTTTAAGCGTGATTTCTTCAAGAGGCAGCACATTGTCTCTGAGAAAACGACAAAAGTACATATTATAAATGAGTACAAGAAATAAAAATGGCTAACAACAGTGGATTTTGTAACTAGATTATCTTACCCACCAATGTCTTCAAGAATCCCCAGATCAAAAGCATCAAGTTCAAACCTGTCTGGTACAGTAATAGCATAATATGGTAAACTCACTTTTCCCTTCCGTGGCTTACTTTTTTCACCAACCACAAAGTCATTAATCTTAATCAATACATCATTGCATTCATCAAACAGATATTCAACTTTTTTGGAGTATATCCTGACTAAACCCAAAAGAAGGTATGCCAGAACTCTATATGTCACAGCATCAAATTCATTTTGCAAAATCTCCTCTGCAAACCACGAAAAATAAATTAATAAATAATGGGTAAGAAGGTACAGTGGAACCAGAAATTTAAGTTACCAGAAAAAATTGGCAATAATCTAAACTTGCAAAAGTAAACAAAAAAATTGCACTGAAGATGTGAGCTAAATTCTCACTGATGTTAGAGAACACAATCCAGTAGTTTTGGCAGTCGCCATGTTCCAAAATACTTAATTCATTATGCCATCAGAATTGTTCTGCTGTACTTCGAGGGGCATTTGACATTTCCTGCATTTCTATATAATTTATTACAGATTGACTTAATCAAATGTCAATCAATTTATCTCACTCAAACCGGATTCTGAAGGTTATGACTCCAACACATAGCTTTCAAGGTACCTAAAGTGTTTAAGAACTCTAATATGTAGATTTTTACTGTCTTGAAATAATGCTAAACCTTTGGTTTTACATATATCCATTATCCATTCTGAATCAACCAAATAAGCAACTACTAAATGCAAAAGTTGGCAGTACATCAAACCTCAGTGTGAAAATTTGATTGTATCAACCAGTCAAGTTGAATCTAGGTCCAATGGTACGTTTGACAATTCAAAAGGCATAAGAGTAAATGCACAAATAAAGGCCTAATAATTTTCAAAAGCAAAACAAAAATTATAACTTCTATTTTTTTTTTTTCCATGTAGACTATCTAATACAGATATCTATTTCTATTTGCATTCAGTTAGTTCACGAAAGACCACAGTCATCCAACAAGAGACATGAAAACCACCTTTTCCACCATTGAGAAGCATCAAGTGCTCTGTGATAGATCAATTGAAACTCCATGGTCACATTTGGCAAAATTTTAACCCAAAGCTGCTAATACAAAACCTTCATTTCATTAGTATACCTTACACTCATGTAGAAAACGCAAGAACATGATCAAAATTGTGACTTAGAAAGCCACATTTTTCCATAACAAAGCGAAGGGGGGGAAAAAATCTCAGCCCACTCACATTTATATGCTGGATAACTGTACAAAAATGGTGTCCATGTCAAAAGCCCTAATTACCAAATTTCTACCAGCAATCAATGATGCCAAGTCCTCAATTTAAGAACAATATTCCTCAGCTCAAAAAAAAAAAAAAAAAAAAAAGACCTGAGGTGAGGCCACGGTTTCTAAAGAACCAAACGCTAGAAGGTTCAGAATAGAGGCCGAGGAACTCACGCAGAACCAGTGTACTTCAGAGCAAAGAAACACAACTTGATTTTAAAGAAGAAAAGAAAATCAACAAACCCAGATGATTTTTAAGTTAATTAAGCCATATAAACAGAATACCCATACGGTATCATACAACTGACAAGCATCCAAAATATCTAAAACACTGTATAAGTTCATTCCCCAAGCAATTCCTACGTACATTTATCTTCAAACTAAAGGAACCAAAACAAATTACAAATAGAAATTTGTATAACCCTTGGCTTGGCTTTTGCTCTGTTATGATAAAAAAAAAAAAAAAAGAAGGCAAATACACCAACAAGGGATACACAAAGAGAAATCACCATTTCAACGAAAGCCATGTCAATAAAAATGAAAACTTTAGCATCGTATTCTCTCATTCTAGCCGAAAACTAAAAAAATACGAAAACAAAAACCTAAAGAGAGTTGAAAGGGGTAAGACTGACCAACAGAGGAAGGAATGTCAGTCTGAAAAACTTGAGCTTTTTGAAGCCTTTTGAAGCAGTAAGCAGCAACCCATATGGCGCCTAGAGGGCCTTTTCTTGACAGAAAACTCCGTGAATAGAACATTTTTCTCTTCTTCTACCAGACTTTGCTGCTCATGACCACGTTGGAGGTGAGAGATAATTTCAAAAGAGAAGGATTTGTACGGCGGCTAAGAGAATGAATATGAACGAACTTTGTGCACTGTGGAAGACAATTAAGAAACGGTCGACTGGGGTACCGTACAAGCTTCTCCGCCCAAAACTTGTGCCTTTTATTTTTGTCTTTGTTTTTCTTTTACGGAGAAAAGAAAAAATAAATAAACATTATTTTCTTTTTATTTTCTTGAAGGAATGATCTTTGCTAATATGTATACTTTGTTAATATCTCCTGCCCCCCTGAGGTTTATTTTATGACAACACATCCTTTTGGTTTAAAATTTCCTTTTTTTTTTTTTTTTTTTTTGACTAAAAATATATGAATCAGTTTACGTACATCTTAATTAATCCCACGAAACTTTAAAATTGATAACCGAGTAAATCGCTCAATGGACACTCCTACAATTTTTCTCATCGTGTTTTTTCAAACTAAGGAAAATGTAATAGAGATTTATATAGGATAGCAAAGATAATTGTGAGACCAGATGAGGTATAATATTTAATTCTAGAGAAATTATTGTCAACGACAATTTTGTCTTTTATTTACTATAATAGTATAATATTTAATAACAATAAGATAACTTATTGGATCTTCATAAGTGATAATGTAAAAATATAAGGACAAAATAAATATTAGACCATTATATATTTAAAATGCAAGATATAAAAGATAATTGAAGAGATTTTACTAATTTACCGTTAAAAAAGATGGAGATGAGAATCAGATAACAGATTGACCGCTTGTCGTTACCTAGTGCCGTTGTGCACAGTTACCAAGAGTAGATTTACAGAGGTAGGTGAGTCACGACTCACCTTCCAGCACAATTGTTTAATTAGGAATTCTGATTCAAAATTTTGGACCCGACCCTGAGCCCAACCATGTTAGATTGAAGAAATTTTGGGCCACCTGGACACAGAGCCCAAAGGCTTTATCTTAAACAACACAAAAACCCTAGTGGGTCAGTCGATTAACGAAGACAACTGCTAAAATCCTACACAACACCACACCTGAGCAAGAACAAGTTGAAGTTATGATTCCTATGCAACCATATATTGATCTGTAATAATAACCGACAAATAAACGAAAGAAAGCATGGCTATGTATTTGAGACGAGCAGTCTCTTACCGGAACACAATTCTACTTCTTAGAAGCGGAAGCTCTTCTCTGCAATCCTACAGAAACTTGTCTCACGCTCTCTGCTATCGCAATTCGGGGATCATTGGGACCCAGTACAATGACCCCACTCTTTCTTCTCTAGAGTTCCTGCGAGATTTTCGCCGAGGTTTTGCCAAATCCAAAAAGTCGAGTACTTCTCTGAACTCTCTGTTTACTTTTTGTTGCTTTGAGTATGGAGTTGTTATTTTTAGATTTGGGTTTTTGTAATGTGATTTTATGGCTTTTGATGATTGATGGGGTGGTTTTGTGACATTTGAATTTTTGGGTGTGTTTTTATTTTGCTGAAGCAGCTGCTAATATTTTTTTAGCTTTATTTTATCAGTGGCAGGAGTCATTGTGAATGCAATTCTGATTTGTTAAAGATAGTGTTTTTATTTTTTATATAGTGTATTCCAATTGTAATTATGTTCAAAGGTTGACGCTTCAGTTATGCTTAATCACTAATGTTAGCTGCTGCATATGCTTTGGTATGGGCAAGTTATTTGATCTAATAACTAATAATAGAAATATAGCCTTAGATATGGTGATAGGAAGGGAGGAAGAGATTCTTGTAGCCGATCTCAAATAGCTTTGGACTGAGGTCTCTAAACCAGCGTCACTAATGCACATTGCGCAGATTGCAATTTGCATATGAATGTAGTTCTTTAAATTGTGGTTTCTGAACGCTTGTGCATGAACTTATTCCTTTTTTTTTTCTTTTTTTTTTTTTATATGTTTCTAGGGGATGATTCAGCTTCTGGGAGTACGGTTGAATTTGTGGATATTGGGCCTACTGTTAAAGAAGCTGCTGTCTCACAGATGGATGCAGCAATAGTTGCCTTGTCACGAGAATTAACCAAACTAAGAACAGGAAGGGCATCTCCAGGTACATTATAAAAGAAGATCTCATTTTGATTTAGTGGCCGATATTTGGTGGTCCGATATGCTGACATAAATATTTATGAAATTTGTTCTCAGGGATGCTTGATCACATCATTGTAGAAACCGGTGGCGTGAGGATGCCCTTGAATCATTTAGCTGTCGTTTCGGTCTTAGATTCTAAAACTTTATCAATAAATCCTTATGATCCAAATGTAATTATCTAAACAAGCTCAGATTTATTTTGCTTCTTCTGTTTCCCTTTGTCAGCAATGGTTTCATTTTTATACACATGCCCAACGTTTTATCTTAACAAGTTTAGAATTTATGCACTCTTCTCCAAATTAAATTGTAAAACTTGGAAAAAACACATCACTGAAAAATAAATTGATTTTTCTTATTCACTTCCAAAAGGAGCCCTTTTGTATTTCCAGGCCAATTAGATCGTTCCCCTGATGAAGTGATTGTTTCTTGCAGACTGTAAAAGAGTTAGAGAAAGCCATTGTTTCATCTCCACTAGGGTTGAATCCTAAAGTGGATGGGGAACGGTTGGTTGCAGCTATTCCACCGTAAGCTCTTGATCTATTTGAAGTTGTTTTTTAATAATTATATGCCTTCTCTAAATAAAAAATGCATGCAAGCGGAAGCTATCCGCTAGTTTGTTTGGTAAAGTCTCAAGAGTTCGTTAAGAATGTCAAATTCTCTCGTTGCCTGACTGATTTTATTCTTTTGTGGCTTGTATTGATCAGATTGACCAAAGAGCACATACGGGTATGCATGTATTAATAGACTCTTATTGTCGTTGTTGTTATAATTCACCACGTAACAGCTATATTATCTGATGTTTGAAACCTGTACCAGGCTATTTGTAAGTTGGTATCAAAGACTTCTGAAGATGTTAAACAGAGTATAAGAAGAGCTCGGCAGAAGGTATGATGATAAAAGATTATCAAAAATTTTGATTATTGCCTAAAAAATCAGATTCAATTAGAAGTTATTATCTAGAGTCATGCAGTTATGAAACCTTTATAGGGGATTTTTTCTGTTTGATGTCACCAATAATAACTGTGTTTGAGTAAAGTGCATAGCCAGGTGGAGGTTACCCACATTTAATAGTCCTATGCTGCTGCAAGAAATGACTGGAAATTATATGTTTATGATCACCTTATTAACGTTTTGTTGCTTCTCATATGATGTTGGAAAATCTAGCACATTGTGGAATGTTATTTATTTATTTTTTTTCACTCTTTCACTGTGTAGATCTCAGGTAATGTCATCAGATTCATGATACTATTGCTTCAGTTACTAGTTTATATCATGTTAAAAGATGTCCTTGTATTCTAATGTCTCTTATAATTAGCTATAGCTTATGGTTTTGGTAGGAAATTATTTAAACCTCTGATTTGTGATTTTTTATTAGAAAAAATAATATAAGAAAATGCATTTGACAGAGACCTTTCCTTTTCAGAAATTGCCATTGTTGCCCCAAGTTTCGAAGCTTATATTCTTGTTTTTACAGGCATTGGATACAATGAAGAAAGCAGGTTCAAGTTTTCCTAAAGATGAAGCAAAGAGACTGGAGAAAGAGGCATGTTTTTAGCTAATCCTGGCAAAAGAAAATAATAAGGGTTTTGTGTTGATGTTTCCTGCTTCTTCTTCCTTTTCCAGGTAGATGAGTTGACTAAGAAGTTTGTCAAATCAGCAGAAGATATGTGCAAGGCGAAAGAGAAGGAAATCACGGAAGGCTGAGTAAGCAATGTGATACGGTCCATACGGATATCATTTAATATCTTCTAATTTATAGACACCTGAAATTCAATTACTCTATTCTGAAAGTTATCTGTAGATTTAGACGAATATTGGCTGTTCACTTCCTGAGAGGATGGGGCATGTCACATTTATATGAGAAAATCTAGAGATCTGATACTCTATTACAAAAGCATCCAATACAATTTGTTTTCCGTTGACTTCACCATTCAAAATAATAGATTTGGAGTTTTGATTGTAAGTTTCCATAGTAGCAGCCATGTAGATAAGCGGGAGACTTTATTTTTGTATGTCGAGATGAGTTAAGACTTTCTCCTGAATTGAGATGTTTGAGCATTTAAGAATCTTATTTCAAGTAAATATAATACTTAGAACTAGGGGTGAGCACAGATAGCGGGTAGAACCGGAACCTACGGGTAGAATCGGAACCTACCTGGAGCCGGCATTGTGTGGTTAGGTTCCAGTTCTATTTTATTGGAACTAAAACTGTGTGGTTCCGGTTCTAATTCTATTTTATTGGAACCGTAACTTTGCGATTTCGGTTTCGGTTCTTATGTGTAGAGGAACCGGAACCAGAACCTGAAACAAGTACCCGGTTTGGAACTTGCTTGGAACCTGTAGCGGGTACCCTATTTAGAACCTGTTTGGAACCGATTTTTGAAACCTGTTTTGGAACCTGGGCTACAATAAAATATTTGTGAATAATGGGGGATTTTTATCATTTTACATACAAAAAAATTTAAAATAGAAAAAGTTATATTTTTAGAATAACCTAATTAAATAAATATACAATTATACTTATTACATATAAACTATATCATATTAAAAACTTTATTATATTATAATATATTAATAATAAAGTTTTGATTAATTAAGTGTATAATTTGAATTAGGATGCAACAAAAACTGTTTAAATGTTATTAAAACAATTATTTTTTAATAAAATAATATATTTGATTGAATAATAATATATTTATTATTTACTTCAATTATCAAGTTCTAAGTATATTTATAGTAAATTAACAATTAAAAATAAATTGATAAACATTAATAAATTTAATTACTAGTTAAATATCATACTTAATGAATTATAATATTACATTATAGTTAAATGATTATTTAATTAATTATAATTTTATAACATTACTTAATTGATTTATAGTATAATTAATTATAACATTACATTAATTGATTACTACTTCATTAATTGACTTATAACATTTGGTAAAAAAAGATAGAATTGAACAATCGGACAAACATTTTTGCGCATTGCATATGGCTCTCCAATGGACTTCACTTTTTTACCTTTCATCGAAGAAAGAGAAAATATGGGGTCTCTTATACCCAGATCGATAAATGATCAAATTACCACCCTTCTTTATTTTGAAGGAATTCAAAAATACTATGATGGCCTTGTTGCTTTCTTATATTTATTTTGGCTATTACTCACCAATCCCAAAGTTTTTTTTTTTTTTTTCTTTCATACTTTTTGATAACCTAAATCCTGTTAATAATCCTCTATTGTGAAAAGAGTTTGTGACACCTAAATCACTGTTTTAAAAGTCGGACCAGACTGGCTGGTCCAACTGGTTGGATCGTGAATCGGTCACGTGTCCGGTTCGAGTCAGCATAAAACCCGTTATTGCGTAATAAACCGCTTTAACCCATCATTGGACCATGTAAACAGTGCTGGATCGCCGGTTCAACCGTTCTGCAAGAAAAATTGGCCCAATCTGAAAAATGAAAAAACCCTAAATTTCTCACTTTCTCCCTTTGCGCTGCGCATTTCTTCTTCCTTAGTTCCTTTACGCACAAAAAAGTCTGAAAAAATTTGAATGAAATCGCGAAAATTTGAAAAGTATCACAAATCAAAACTCAATCTTGCTGAAATCGCAACCATCCCTTGCTGAAATCACAACCATTCGTTGCTGAAATCGATCGCAACTCCAGTCTCTGAAATCGCAACGACGTGTTCCTCCCTCGTCAGAAATCGCGACGACGCGTTCCTCCCTCGCTAGAAATCGACGACGTGTTCCTACCTTGCCAGAAATTAACGCATGATGGCTGATTGGCATGCATGTCTTGACAATCCAATTTGATTCAAGGTGAGTTGTAATCTTCGGGACCTTTGCTGTGAAATCTGAAATGTGTGCTTTCTCTTTGTCCTTTTTTAATAGAGAGTATTAGGGCCAAAAATCGTCTTTGGTCCAAATAGGAAGAACGGGCCTGACATTGAAGAAAAAGCCAGGCCCAATCCCGATGTCACCCAACCAGATTGGGCCCATTCGGTACAAGATATAGCCGGTCCAACCCACGTGGGCACAAGCCTCCTAATCCCAGTCCATTTCCTAAAAGTCCATGGGCGAATCCAGAGTTCACGGCCCCCTCAAAATACTTTCCTACTCCGGATCAATCTCCCGTTCAAGATCACCTTCCTATTCCTGATCACTTTCCTACTCGAAGTTACTCTCCTAATCTGAATCACCTTCCTATTCGGACATTGGTAAGACAGCTTACCACGACCCTGATTCTTCTAGGGTTTGCATCAGAGTCATACTAGGACTCCTACTTCTACCAGGATTGGAAGACCAGACAGTTACTATATAAGCAGAGACCAGCCCTCTCACAAAGGACACACTAGATTACACCTCCACACCCGAAGCTCCTATTTGAGAGCTTTAGATCACCGCCGTAGTCACAGTCCCCGACTAGACTTCCGGTAACCTCCTACTCCCTAGCCCTCACTATATTAGATTTTTAGCCTTGCTGATTTGAGCGTCGAAGTGCCTACGACAAACACCACCCTGGTGTTTCCTGTTCACTTCACTCGTGTGTTTTTCTACATGTGCAGGTACAGCAGATCGCTAGTGGCCTCATCCTCACAGGATCAGACCCCCCTTCCATACAAGTAGATTTTTACGTCTACAGTTTGGCGCCCACCGTGGGGCCTCTAGCAATCATTCGGCTCGACGAACCTTGCTACCTGGAAGAACATTCCATGGCTGACAACTCCGATAACGCTAACCCCGGCCTTGAGGCCAAACTGGAAGCTCTAACCGCTCTCATGCAACAGAACTTGGACAAGGTGGCAGCATTGGAAGCTGAGAACCATGCGATCCGGACAGAAAACGCATCCGTCAGGTCAGAAAACCAATCCCTCAAGGAGAAGGTGAGTCAATTCTATGACCTAGAGTTCCTTCCCGGCCAAACACCCCTCAATCGGTTCCGCACCCCTGTTCCGCCCATGCAACCTCTGCTTACGCCGGAGCCCCGATCCTCGGCCTCTCGCAAAAGGCCGCGTCCCTTAAACCTGTCTGCGGTCGACAATTCTGTCCTAATTCATGGAGATAAAATTATGCCTGAAGAGCACCAATCAGCCGATTCATCCCAACATCAAGACCAAGACAATCCAACGGCCAAAAGCCCTCATCCACAAGACCAGCTCAATCTAACCATCCCAACACATACTCCACTCGGCTCGGCTCATCCTCGTGGGATGAACGGCCAAACAAAACCAACAGCACCCGAGCCTATCCATCCTGACCAACCGAATGACTATCAGAGGACTCCCCTGACCATCCATGTAGGGCGAAACACCAGAGTAGTTACCATGGGAGTCATCCAACTGGAAGGAATAACCGAAGACTTATGCTACCAAGGAACGCATAAAGGGACTCGTCAGCCTACCCCAAGAGGGATGATCCAACGGGATGTACCAAAGATAAGTGCAAAGGCCGACCCGGTCACGCGGGATGACCTAATGGCGTCCCCTTTTCCTATGGAACAGGTGTTAGCCAAGAGGTTGGCCGATGTGGAAGCAGTGATGCGACGCATTCCAGGAATGCAGTTCCCAACCAAGAAAAGCAGGCCCCATTGTTACGCGGATTCACCCTTCGTGGATGAGATCGCCCTAGCCGACTTGCCACAGAAGTTCACTATCCCTAACATGAAAATGTACGACAGCACAACCGATCCGGATGATCACATAGCCTCGTACAAACAACGGATGTTCACCGTCTCGATACCCTGACCGCTTAGGGAAGCCTGCATGTGCAAAAGTTTCAGTTTGAGCTTATCCGGCCCAGCACTACAATGGTACACGAACCTCTTGAATGGATCCATCAATTCATTCGCTTAACTCACCGACACGTTTGTGGAGCAGTTTGCCAGCAGCAAGAAACTCGAGAAGCTGTCAGCCGACTTGTACAGGGTATACCAGAGAAGGGACGAGCCATTGAGAGAATATGTCAGCAGCTTTAATAGAGAGAAGATTTCCATCCCAGCATGCAACCCCGAGACAGCCGTAGATGCCTTCAGGAAGGGTCTCCTCCCAGATGGAGAGCTATACAAAGAACTTACAAAGCTCAGATGCACAACAATGGAAGACGCCCTGGCCCGGGCAGTGATCCAAATAAGGTGGGAGGAGGATTAGATAAATCGAACGATTCACTCCAGATATGAACCAAGGCGGAGCGACAGGAAGCCAGAGCCTCGACCGATAGAGCACCGCTACCACCCTCCAACACGTAATATGGGTAGAGTCAGGAAGCCTTATGATCGCCAACCCTCGAGAAATGATAACAGGCAGTTCGGATCGAACCGATCTAGAATACCAGAGTACAACCTCAGCGTCGAACCAACCCAGGTCATACCAATAATGAAAGGATTGGGATCCACCGTCAAGTGGCCTGGCAAGCTCCATCCCGAGGCAAGGAGAGACACAACCAAGTGGTGCGAGTTCCACAACGACCATGGGCACAACACCGCAGACTGTATTGCCTTACGACTCGAGGTTACTGCACTTCTAAAAAGGGGACATCTCTATGATCTGCTTACTGACAAGGGGAAGAACACTATTAGCCAGAAAAGCTCCAAAGAACTGTCACCCCCTCCACGGGGACCCACACCGAAAGGTTTCTATTCGCTCATCTCCAGGGGATCAGAGATCAGTGGGGTAAGTTACTCATCGGCCAAGCGGTATGCTAGAGCCAACCACCACCATGAAGTCCAGTCCAGTCCATCCATCCGGTCTCGCGGTCACACTCTCATCAGGTAATTCAGTTTGAAGATGACAAACCGGTCACCATGGCCGCACCTCATCACGATGCTTTAGTCGTATCCTTGCAGATTGCCAACATCCTAATGAAAAGGGTGTTTGTAGATGGAGGTTCGTCAGCAAACATCCTGTTCCTCGAAGCAGTAAAAGCAATGGGACTAGAAGAAGCAAACATCAACAGGCGG